TAACAACAACATTGATAAAGCCAATATTTCACCTCTAATACATGTATCTGATCTTAGTACAAATATAACACAGAACTATTGACTAAGAACTTTTCCTCTGACTACTTGCTATTAAAATTATTTTCATTTTTTCATTTTATCTATTGAACTTAATGGCTACCTGCTTTCTGCCATTTTAAAGAACCAGGTTAATTTATTGTTAAACATCTAAATTGCTACTGCTTTTGCTGCTAATATTATTTCCTGCTTAAACTCTCCTACAGTATGTGGTCCAGACAACATTACTGTTACAGTTTTATAAATGTGTTCGCCAAAATTCTCTTCATTAATCTCAAGATTATTTAACAGCCCAAATCTTGTTTCTCTAGAGGTTGGAAAAATGGTATCTGCAGTTCCAATTAAAAAAACTCTCCTGGTAACTCTAATCCCTCCAACTATCACTCAACCAATTTTCTAAATAATAATAGCTAAGTCTTTGAAACCCTAAAACAATCAACACAAATTTTGATCTTCATGTTCTACAGCTAATTTGTTGTTATAATAGAAAAATTCTATTGTACATGAGATGGAAGTTGGTAGAGAAGTTGGTAAGGTAAGGAGTACTACTCTTGATATATCAAAGACTTTTGATAAATTGTGGCTGTTCTTCTCCATAGGTTTGCTTCACGTATCTGGGAAAAATTTCAAAATTATTGAACTATTTCTTTTTAATTACAGTATTAAAATTGTAATGGACAACACTTTCCTTTATTTCTAGTAACTTCTGGATTACCACAAGGTGCCATCCTTGGTCTTGTGGTTTTTTTTCATCTATATTAATGATCTTACTGGCATCTATAACATCTAGTGGCAATATTTGTTAATAACACAACTATATACTCCAACCTTGACAAAAAGTCATCGCTTTTTTATCACTTAGAATAGGCAGTCAGTTTCAAATGTGATATCTTTTTTGCAACAGATAAAGTCTTGCATTGGATGATGAATCTACCTCTATAAATCTTTATTTTATTATTGTTTGTTTAAAAAAAAAATACTTTAGAATTAGAAAAGCAGTTAATATTAATAATTCGACATCGAAGTCCAATATTTAAAACAGCCTTATGAATAAACTATTTTTTGCTTGTAGAACTCTGATTATTAAAGAAAGAATCTAAAAATGTAAGAACTATTCCTACATTAAAAAAAAGGGGCGTCAAATTGCCATGGGCAAATCCTACACACTCTGTTTGTGTTTATTCTTAACATCAGAATGCTAAATTTCTAGTGAATGCATAAGGTTTTGCAGTGGTAAATTACAGGTTGTGCAGCGCTATTAAAATACAACAGATATTTCCCTTTTTAATATCTTGCTTTGAAAAATATAAGAATGAATGTATAGCTACATTCATTCTTATATTTTTCACTTCAATCACAGTACCTTTATCAATTAAAACAAAATTTGAATCAATTAAGCATTATCATTATTGGTGAATTATGCTTTTTTTTGTTCAAAATTAAATAAAGAACTATTATGGGGACATCAAACAATGCTTTTACATTTATTTATTATATACTATAAAGATAAGGAAGATAAACTATAAAAATATCTTTACTTCTTTTAAATTAACAACATTACACACAATTTAACCCTCATGCACAAAATATTTTAACTATTTATACATTCATTAAAATTAAATGTTGCCAAACAGTACAAAAATTGTATAATCTTTTACAACATATGCCAACAAGAGAACAATTTAACCTGAATGGAAGTTTCTGCCTGGTCTATAAAGTTACCATGTGATAGGATCAGTGGTACTGTAAAAAAGATGAAACTTATTACTTAGCCATATAATATGGCTAAGTAATAGGTTTTTGGCCTTTGGTACAGTTGCTTCATACTTTCTTGCTCTGTCATCTTTTTTACAGTACCACTGATCAAATGTTTAGATATGATGTTCAGATATATGTTCAGATATAAAAAAATGTTCAGATATGGCCCATATCTGAACATTTTTTTGAAAAAAAATTCAAACTGCTAACTACAAAAAAGAATTAACCTTAATAGCAAGAAACCTTACAAATATAATCTGTATCTGTAGCTTTCATCAAATTTATAGATAGTAGAGGTAAAAGGGAATATTTTAACTAGTCTTAAAGAGATGACTACGGTTTTACAAACATATTGGAAAAACTATCTGTTTTCAAGCTTGCTCTAGTTCAGAAAAAAACTATAAAAAGCTGAAAAGGAAGAAGTAAAAGAAAAATGGTAATTATATTAAGTAACTTTACAATTATAGTGAAAAAAAAAAAAAAATTCAATACCTTAAAATTTTTTGCATTTTTCTCAACCAATATACTGTACTTTTCTTAGAAACTTTTTTGTATTAAAATTAGTTAATATTTATTTGGAAATACTTTTTTAATAATCCCCGAAAAAAGTAGTAAGCCTTAGAAATTACACTTCTATGTTTTTGTTATTTTTCAAGTTAGATTTTTCGTGTCATATCCTTCGGGTCGGAGCTACGTCACAAATATCGGAAAACAAGTCTACCATTATGGATTAGGGAAAACAAATAATTTTATCGAGTTGGGAATTTTGAGGAATTATTCATATACATGAATAATTCTCAAAGTTGCTGTGTTTTATTGTTTCAAATAATAATATTTTACAGAGTTAAATTTTTTAGATATTTCCATATGAAGATATTAGAAGTTAAAGGTAATAAATCGTGCGCATGTTGACAAATATGGAGTAGTTTAACTAATATCTTCATATGGAACATACTTCTTTAGTATGTAAAATTTTAACTCTGTAAATTGTTATTGTTATTGTTATTATTGTTATTATTGCTATTATTATTATTATTATTATTATTATTATTATTATTATTATTATTATTATTATTATTATTATTATTATACAGAAATAATTATACTTTGCGATAATTTTGATTTGATAATTACTAGTTATCAAATCAAAATATAGTCTCCCAAAATAATCATTATGTCTGTTCACAACAATATTTTCTGGTGGGTTTTAGTTTTAGTAATTTATCAAAATAGTAAATAAGGAATTTTTGAAATAATTTTTTTTTTTTAATCATTAAAAAAATTCGTTAAGTAAAAATAACAGTAGTATAAGGTAAATAAAGTAATATGGACAAAAACAAGTTTAAAAAACAAACATCTTCTTTTAAATACACGGGCTTGACAGATATAAAATAATGCTAAAATAGTTACTAAAAAAGTTTGGTTTATACAACATAGTTTAATGATTTAAATTTTATACTTTTTCCACTAGACATTTATACTCTAATACACTCCACAATTATACAACATAGTTTAATGATTGTTAAGTGTATATTTTTTTCACTACACATACTTTATAGTTTTTTGGTCACTAAATAAAAAAATATAGAAAACAACAGATAAAATCTACATAAAAGTTATATAAAAAATATATGAACTATTATATATTGCTGTTAATAATAACAACAATATGTAACAGTTATATAACAGTAAATCATAATAATATATTATTATGATATACTGTAATTAATATTCTTTTATTTGCTTTACTAAATTAAAGTTGTAATTATATTAAAACTATTTAAATACAAGGATTTTATGTTAAATTGTATAAAATTAGCAATTCCTTGATAATTTTAATTTATTTAGATTATAGTAAATATTCTTTTGAAATGTTGGTTTTTTTTTTTTTTTTTAACTTTATTTTTTTATAAATTAAAATCAATATATCACAAGAATTAATATTAAAATTGCATCAAATAACAATTTTTTCACCTAATAATTTTTAGCTTTAACAATAACGATGGAATTATAAAATGATTTCAATGCAAAAAAATAAGTCGAAGGTGAACCATCAGATTTTTTATGCTTTTAAAACTCATTAACTCCTCGAAACAAGATTACGCCTCTTAACTGCACAATCATTAATATCATCACTAACTCCAGTTACACAGTTAGAAAGAAAAGGTTTTTCTAAGGAAATGGATAGTTTAAAAGTAATATGTGAAAGACTAAAGTTAGAATTCGGAGATGAGAACATATGTGCTCTATTTACAGTTTAGATACTGAAAAAAAATTGTTAGTAATGATGGATTATTTAAGTGTAGATGGAAAATTATTGTTACAAGTTAGCCTTAAATGATCAAATATATTGTTGACTTTGATAAAATTAAGCTAAAACCTACTTTAAAATGCTTGCTTATATATGTAACATCAGTAAGAGTTAGCAATAAGCTATTTGGAAGTGGGTTGTTATTATGTATATTAAACTAAAGTTTCCGATAAAAATGCAAGTCAGAACTGATATTTGTAAATCATTAACACCTGTTTTCAAGACAAAGTTTCTTACACTAACATGCTTTGAAATCTTTATAGAATCTCATTAACAAGAGCAAAATGTTACAGTCAGTACAAGAAATATATTACAGCATATAGCCAAAAGTAATACTAAAAAAATCACATGTTAAAAATTTATTGGCTGGCCACTTAAAGTGATTGCCGCTTAAGGTCCACTTAGTAACTGTTGAGCAAAATCCCATCAACAGTGAAACTATAAAGGTCCACTGCAAATTTACTACCTAAAACTTATTAGAAAGTTTTAAGATTTTAAAGTAAATCATTATGGTTATATTTTTGGAATAGTTACAGATAGGCTAGTAAGGAAAAAACAAGAAGATTCTATCAAATAGCTAATCATCTATGTCTTTTTCATGGAATTCATTTTTAATTTTATCATTGTAGGCTTAGTGTTTCGATTGTAGATGCATATTTTGAACCATAAAAAGATGTAAACAAATAACTTGCTATAATTGGATACTTTTAAAAAAATAAGTCTTTTAAAAAACATTTTACAATTAAAGTTTTGTTTTATTTCATTTGTTACATTTTTATATATCTTATTAACTTAATAGTATTTAATTGTTTTTTTTAAAAATTTAAACTTAATTGTCTAGGTAGATGTCTGACATCTACCTAGACATAAGATTCTTATGTCTACACTTTTATGTCTTAAAACATTTTTATTTTATTCAGTTTATAAAATTTTTATCAGTTTAAGAAAAATACATTTTAAATAGAAAAAAAATATACAAACAGGAATAATAAAAGTAGTTTATAGGATGTTTTTTTTTTGTACTTTCAATTTTTATTTTTTGTTTTGGGTTTAAAGTAGTTTATTTGTTTAATTTTATTTGAAATATTTTTTCATAATAAACTTAAAAAATAAAATTAACGGTTTTTTTTACAAGGTAAAATGTAATGTAACTTATAAATAAAACAGAATGTAACTTATAAATAAAACAGAAAATCATAAAACTTATTTAAAATAAATACTTTTGAATGATTAGCATTTGTAAATTAATTTGAATAAGTTTAAATTTGCAAAATTAGCTAAACAATCTTGTAAATTAGCTGTTTTTACGGCGCTTTAACAGTTTGTTTTCCCTAATCCATAATGGTAGCTATAAAAATCCGATTTGTCACGTGACCTCCGACTCCAAGAATAAAATTATAAGCAAAAAAATCTCAGGTCAAAATTAAAGCTATTTTTCAAGAACCGCTCAACATTTTTAGCTTGATATATTTTTTCATAAATAGGAATTTTATTAAAAAATTTAAAACAAAAAATAACAAAACATGATTATAATAGACTGGGTGTTTTGATATGGAATTACTCGTTTAGGGGTTGTCCATAAATTACGTCATGCTTAGGAGGGGGAGGGATCGGCGATTTTGTGACGATTTGTTACGAGGAGGAGGAGGTAGGTCTCGATTTTGTGACGCAACATTTTTTTTTTAAAGAAGACGTTCTTTTAATTAAAAGAGTATCTGACCAAACCAAAACTCTCAGTTGATGTATCTACATGTTTATTGTAAAATTAACTACGCCTAAATTTTACTTAGTAGATGTGTACACTCCGTTACAGCCTGTTAACGGTTACAGCCTGTTAACTGACTGTTACGGCTGTTTGTGCAGTGCCCGTTCTGCGCTTTGAATTTATATAGTTCAAGTGCAGAACTTTATTTAGTTGGTTCACAAAAGTGAGCATCAAACAAAAAAACAATCTTTTGCAATAACTAAAAAAAAAATTTTTAATACCGAGAAACGAACCTGGAATCCTCGGTTAATTGGTATCATGTTTGGGAGAGCGATGTTAGTTTATACAATTTTACACGGAACTATTGGGAAGTAAAAAAAACATTAAACAGACTGAAAAGTACTAATTAATTAACTCAAAGAAGCTCAGAGAATTATAGACATTATTATATTTAAAATCGTTTTGTATTTTGTAAAATTTTCCACCCCCTCCCATCCTCTCTAATAAAAAAAATTTTAGAGAGGGAGGGTATAAAATTGTTGCATAATATTGGGGGGGGGGGTTCAATAAAGTGTTACGGACGCGTTACGAGGAAGGGAGGGGGGCAAAAAATGTCAAAAACTGCGTGACGTAATTTATGGACGACTCCTCAGCACATTTTAGCAACATTGTTTATGAATGTTTTTTTTATAACCACTAACAAATCACCGCAGCTACCTGTCCTGCACTAAGTTCTGCGCAGGACACAGTAATAAGAAAGATATCATTTGGAAGCGATCTTAAGGGGGGTCCAAAAATATTTTTTTTAGATTTAACTAATTTGAAGGTTCTACTTGGAAAGTCATCACAACAATCCACAATCATCTAAAATGACTTTCACAAAGTTATCTCGCACTCTAAATATAATGATTTAAATATAATGACGATAAAATAATGATTATTGATTAAAATAGAAAATAGCATCGTTTTACGTCTACAGAAGAAATCTTCTGTAGACGTAAGACGATGCTATTTTCTATTTTAATCAATAATCATTATTATAAATAAAGTCGATCTGCGCGGCAATGACCTACTTGTATCTCTAAAATAAATTATTTCATTCTTCAATCGTTTTTGGTATTTTATCAGATCTTGTTTTTTTTTCAATAAATTCACTGATATCTAATCCACAAGTAAAATGGTTTGTCTTGTAATTTTAAACTTTTTAAAAAAGAATTATTGTTCTTTTTTAGTTAAGGTACTTCTATACAATTAGACTACGTTTTTCTTAAAACACATTAATTACAAATATAGTTAGCATAAATTACAAATATTTAGCATTTTTAGCATATTTAGCAACAATAGTTAGCATAAATTACAAATATAGGTTGAATGAAAACAATATGAAATGAAAAAAAAATTTTTTTTTTTTTTAATCCTAATAAAAAAGTTGGTTTTAGTCCCAAAAAGAAGCTAAACCGTTTACACGATTATTTATCATAGGGTAACGGTTAAACTTTGAAAGTTGCATAGTTGTATTATAATAATGTAAACTACATTCTGTGCCACTTTCACGTTCAAGCTATCAAAACTTGCAAAAATATAGTTATTTTCATAAAAAATGTTGAATTTCACAGTTTTACTCGCCTACTCAAAACTTCATAAGAACAAATCTGAATAAGCGAGACTC